GGCGAGAGCGAGTAGAGCTGCTCAACCAGCTGCGCAAGTAGAATGCCTCATGTTACCCCCTCCTACTTTCTCCCAAATCTTTGTAAATTAAAAAGTCGTTGGCTCCCTACTGAGGGGTAGTGCAAAACGCTAGCGCAGTGCGGCGGGTTTCTGGTGTTTTTTTTTGAGGCAAAAACAGGAGTACTCCTGTGAGGAATCGGCGTAGGAGCGCAAATGAGAGGAAAGATGGCTTAGATGGTGCCCTTGGTCGTGAGCACAACCCAGATCGCATGGATGACGCCGCCGATCCATGTAAAAATCCAGAGGAGAATGTTAATGAGCAGATGAATGTCGCATCCTCGCTTGAGGAAGACCGAGACGGGCGGGAGGAAGATCGCCAAGATGATGAGCAGGATGTCCACTGCATAGATGTGTATTGTGGCGCCAGAGAATTGTGCGTTAGTGTAACGGATTTTGATGCGTGTAGAAGAAGATCTGCGTCGTACCAACTTCCATAGTAGTGCTAGGCGGGGTAGAGTGACGAGGTTGGAGTCTTGTGGCCTTGCTCTTGGTGAGGTGGTGGTGCTTGTGGTGGTGAGATAAGAAAGACTAGAAGCCGGCAAGACGTGGCCCCAACACTTGCGGCGCGAGAAGTCAGGCAGATAGAGGGCCGGGACATCCCCCCCAGCGCCAGTGCTGGAGAATTCGCCCGAAATCACGCACCTCGTAGGCTGTTGGTCCGGCACGACGCGGTAATTGGCCTTCCGATAAGCTCATTAGTCGACAACATGTCAGTAGTGACGCATGTCAAGCCCACGTGGGTTATGCAACAAATCGTGCCCTGTTGCTTCATTCATTCGGCAACATGTTGGGTCAGGCGCAGAGTTGACATCGGAAGAAGTGGTTGATAGTGTTTTTGGGACACTCACGTATGTGAACAACAACAAAGGAAGGAGAGAGAAGGAGAGGTGGTGGAGGACAAGAGCAACCGTGTGGCCCAGAACGGGGAGGCTTCAGGGGGCTGGCGTGTCCACCATCTTGACGGTGATGAGCTTGACGCGGGTGGCGTAGAACAGGGGCGGGTTCACGTTTCGCAGGTAGATCACACCCCACCTACACACCATCCGCCAACCTCGCGCATGAGCAAACACGTGACACACGCACGACACGCACGACAACACAAAAGACGAAGGGAAAAGGGTGTGTGGTGACGTACATGAAAGTGGTGAACCACATCTTGGCCACGGCATTGGACTGGTACCTCCTGAGGAGGATCGGGTGGGGCACGGGCAGCAAGCCCACGAGGGTGGTGTTGCGGAGGTACTCCAGGATCTGGGCCTCGTCCGCCGAGGAGCCCGACACAAGCGCCGGGATCTGCGGCACGATCGCCGCCAGCAGCCGGATGATGGGCACGATCGGCAGCGACGCGCGCCACGACTCGATCCACTCGGCGGTCGGCACGAACGCGCCGTCGGCGCCAGCGGCGGGCTGCACGGTGGTGGCCGGGGCGCCGTCGGCGCTGTCGGCGGCGGCCGCAGCCTCGGGCGCGGGGGTGGTCATCGCCGAGGAGACTTCTTCGTTGGACGGGGCCGGGGTGGTGACGGTCTCAGCGGGCACGACGGCGGGCGGCTGAGTATCGTGCTCGCGCGGGAAGACGCTGGCGCCGGGCACGGCGGTCGTAGCGGCGGCGGGCGACTGCTCCTCGATCGGCTGCAGCTCCTTGGAGATGTTGAGCTCCGCCATCTTCTCCTGGGCGGCCTGCAGCTCGCCCGAGGCCTCCATGGAGGTGCCATCGGTTACGGCGGCCAGCGGGGCAGCAGGGGCCGTGGCGGCGGCAGCAGCAGTCTTGGGCTGGAGGGCGGAGAGGTCGATGCGGGCGAGGCTCGAGAATCCCTCGCGGTAGCGGATCATGGCGTAGATCAGCTGGTAGTTGCCCTCGTACTGGTACTGGATGAAGTTGTTGAAGACCTGCGGGTCGTTCATTCAAGCAAAATTCGGTTAGAAGCGCGCACACATAGACCGCGGAAAAAGAGAGAAGTGGTGGTACGTTGAGGAGGAAGAAGATGTAGCGGTGGTTTCGTTCGTTGGCGAAGAGGAAGCGGGGCCGGGAGAGGAGCTTGAAGAGGTGCATGAGCTTGTTGGAGGTCACCATGCCGACGGCCTTCACGAAGGGCGACACGTTGGCCAGGATGCTCAGCCAGCACTCGTACAGGATCTCCAGCTCGGCGTGCCCGTCCACGATCATCTTGTGGAACACCTGC